TATGTTGTTCGTTTAGAATGTGTTCTGTGACAACCGAATGTCTAGCAGAGTCTAATTTAATATTATTTTTATGTTCTTTAAGTCTCGTTCCTAACTGTCTTTTTGTCTGTCCGACATATGTGGCGTCACAATCGTTGCAATTCAATTTATAAATAACATTAGAATTCGTGGGGCAATTATTTTTGTCCTTTTGAACTCTTATGAAGTCATTCAATTTTTTAATGCAACGATATCCTACCACTACGTCAGGTCTTCTTATTGCTGAAGCAACTTTCTCAGATATTGATTCTATATATGGTATGACAAAATATTTAATGTTAGTATTAGTATTATTGGTATCTGTTATATTGTTATTATTAGGCTTGTTAAATTTCTTAGTTGAGAGATTTTTTAATCTGCGTTTTATTTCTGTGAAAATTAGATCAACCGTTGGATAAAATGTTAATAGCTTTCATATATGTGAAGAAAAAAATTCCTATAAATTGGCTACGTAAATCGCATGAAACAGAGTACATTAAAAATATTGATCCTATCGAATTGAAAACAATATCATCGACAAATATTGTTGATAACACTGTTTCTGCCAACAGTTTTCGTTGTGCTACACATAACCCTTTACAACAAACTAACCAGAAATGGTTTATTAATTTAACTGATAAAAAAATTCCCCCAATGTAACCAATCTATTACAATTGGGAGGTGAATTTAGTCTCCCAGTTAACTTAAATAAAAAAGTAGCTATACACGAATTCATCAAAGATATAGAAAGCAATTCTAATGGGATCAGAAATCTTACTTCGATTCGTAATGCTGCCATTCCACAATTTTCATTATTTTTAAACAATAACGACAAAAAAACGGACATACAAGAAAAATTATTTCACATGCATAAAGACACAATTAAATTCTGCAATCAAAATCCTAATATTTTATTTACTAGAGCAGATAAAGGCAGCATTACAGTCGCACTAGAAAAAGAATTTTATATAAAAAAAGTTGAGAGTCTCCTAGAAGACGATTCTACGTATACCATAGTTAAAAACAATCCATCAACAAAAATAGAAAAAGAACTCAATATTTGTTTAAAAAAATGGTTGAAAAAAGATTTCATCAACAAAAAAGAATATTATTATTTATTTTCAAGCGACTCTCTTCTTCCTAAAGCCTATGGGCTCCCCAAGATCCACAAGGAAAATATTCCTTTTAGATTAATAGTTTCCTCAATAAATACTTCTCTATATAATATTGCTTCTTTCTTTCATAAAATTTTAAAAGATAGCCTTCCTAGAGCGGACAGTTTTGTAAATAACAGTTTTGATATATGCAACATTCTATCAGGGAAAACAATACAAGATACCGACATAATAGTTTCATTGGACGTTGTTTCATTATTTACTAATGTTTCCGTAGATCTTGCATTAAACGGTATCAATAATAGATGGCATTTTATAGAGTCACACACAAAGATTCCCAAAAATGAATTCATAGGTATGATAAAATTTATATTAACTTCTACATTTTTCACTTTTAATAACATAACTTACAAACAAATTTATGGGACTCCTATGGGTTCCCCACTTTCTCCGATCATTGCCGATATAGTCATGCAGGACTTGGAAACATTAGTAATTAGTAATTTAAATTGCGAAATGACTTTCTATTTCCGTTATGTAGACGACATTATTTTATGCACTTCCGCTGACAATATTACATATGTTTTGAACGAATTCAACAATTATAACGATAGACTACAATTTACATTGGAAAAAGAGGATAATCGTTGTATAAGCTTTTTAGACATAATGATCAAAGTAATAGATAATAAAATTTATTTAGATTGGTATCACAAAAAGACATTCTCAGGTAGATTACTTTCATTTTTTTCAAATCATCCGACTTGTCATAAAATAGGAACAATTTATAACTTGGTAGATAGAGCTTTATTACTATCACATCCGCAATTTCACAAAAAAAATATAGAGAAAGCTATTAACATTTTGCTATCCAACGGTTATCCTCTTGATCTAATTTTCACAGAAATAAAACGCAGATTAAAAAATCTCTCAACTAAGAAATTTAACAAGCCTAATAATAACAATATAACAGATACCAATAATACTAATACTAACATTAAATATTTTGTCATACCATATATAGAATCAATATCTGAGAAAGTTGCTTCAGCAATAAGAAGACCTGACGTAGTGGTAGGATATCGTTGCATTAAAAAATTGAATGACTTCATAAGAGTTCAAAAGGACAAAAATAATTGCCCCACGAATTCTAATGTTATTTATAAATTGAATTGCAACGATTGTGACGCCACATATGTCGGACAGACAAAAAGACAGTTAGGAACGAGACTTAAAGAACATAAAAATAATATTAAATTAGACTCTGCTAGACATTCGGTTGTCACAGAACACATTCTAAACGAACAACATACATTTGACTGGGACAATATTAAAATTATGGATCACGAAAAGAACTACCATAAAAGACTAATATCTGAAATGATCCACATTAAAGAACAGAAAAATGGAATTAATTTAAATACAGACACCGAATTGTTAGACAGTAGTTATTTTGACATACTTAAAAAATTTGCTGAATCATAATTTAGAAAAAACATTGGTAATAAATAAATACATCACGCTCTCTATTTTGACATTTGGTATTCAGACTTCGCAACACACACTTGAAATATCGGGGAAAGGACTTGTTAAAACGATAATGTAAGTTGAAAGATTTTTTAATTTTCTCTGACATTGATTTAATTCGCGTATTATATCCGTAGCATGCTCAAATGTCGCATAACTTGGCATCTCAGACCAATCGCCTTGCATATCTATTGGTCAACAGCGAAGAATCGTTTCAATTTTATATTTTAATATTTAACTAACTTTGTATTTTTAACATTTAACTTTGTATTTTAATATTTAACTTTATGTATTGATAAAGACTGTAGTGCAGTCGAAACGTTTACAATTTATATCGATTCTGTAACGGAATGTTAATTTAATTATTTAACTTTTAATAAAAATTTTTACACCTTATTTATTTGCTCGTTCAGTTGGCCTACTATATATGATTTGTTTAATTTTATTTAATCACAGTTTCATCAAAATGACTATTCATTTTGTTTTATTTTTGCAATATTTTGCAAACAAATAAATCGTATGTCGCATAATATTTGTTTTTAATTATAATGTGTTCAGCGTTTCTTGTAAATATAATAACATTAATTCAAACAAAGCGTTGTACCAAAAAAGAGAGATTTCTAAATTATCATATCTAAATTAAATTTAATTCTTATAAAATAAATGATCGAATATTTTGATGTGTAGCTGCTATATATTTCCAATAAGATTAAATTAATATGTTCAATTAATTAATATATAATAGATAATTATTATTTTTAATAAAATTATTTATACATTTTTATTATTTTTTTACAAATTCTTTAAAACTATTATTTTTACTATTAAAATTCTTCAAAATTATTATTTTTAAAATATAATTTTTTATTACAAGGTAATATTATAAACGACCCAACTGTCAAAAATAATCTTTATTTTGATGATGTTAATAACTAAAAATTATTTTTTGACAGTTGGGTCGTTTATAATGTTATTTTGTAATTTTATTTCACTGTCATCACGGAAATTATTTTTTAAATAATTTTTTATGTATTTTTATTTTAACCTTGACTTTAAAGACTCATTGTCAGCAAAATAAAAAAATTAATAGAAAGAAAAAGCAGCCATCGGACGACCCGTCTTATTGACTTCATTATTATCTGCTTAGTGCTTCAAAGGTCGACTTCAGGATTTCGATGAATCTTCTTCCTCTATCTTAAGCTCTGTCCAAGTTGTATGCCATATTGAATCCAATCGACTATCAGCACATTTCAACGTCGACTTTAGCTTCGACAAATCTTTTTGTTCCTTGAGCCTTTGCCCAAGTTATCAACCGATTGTCATATTGGACCCAATTACTTTTTTCGAATAAGTCTGGTATCCCTTATCTGACTTCCTGTTGGTATTTTGAAGATCTCTGATAAGAGGAGATTATCTACTGTGGACCAATCGTCTCCTAAAAGATTCTACTAAATCCTTACCTCCCCAGAGAGCACACAATATTTATAATAAAAATTCATAAATATTTATAAATATACATTTTTTTAAATATTATATAAATATTTTGAAAAAGTTTTACGAAAACCTTTATTTAACATATTATTAAAACATAGATTAAATATTTTATATCATATTTATGGTATGTAAAGATAAATATTTATAGTAATTATTTTTTAAATATTTTTTAACTAAATTGTTAGTTTTTTTATTTACCGTTATGTGACGTATCTCTCTCGTCTTGGATTTTCGTCGTGAAAATTATATAAGGCTGGCAAAAACGGAAATTAATAAAATAAAAATGTCAAAATTATTTTTATTTTTGAGTTACATTCTGCAACAAATGTCTTTTAACAAATAAATTTACGTATATATCGACGTAAATTTATTTGTTAAACCACTCTGTTGCCTAAGTATATTCAGTGTATATTATAATGTTATATTCTATTTTAAAATAAATGTCTAATAAGTTACTTATAAACATTTTTACACATTTTTAACTTTTTATAAATGGCTAATACAGTTTGAAAAACATCTAATCGACCAAACTTTAGATTAGACTACATGTATATCAACCGATCGTTTTGATTAAAAATTGATTGAATGATTATGTCTTTTTAATTCATAATTTCTTACTGAATATTTATTAAAGAAAATATAAATTTAAAAAAATTTGTATCAATGATTTAATAAATATATATTTATAATATTTCCCATAATAATTATCGTAATAAATATTTTCTGATATTTATAATAAATATTTCTGCTCTATTGAATCTAAGACTCTAAAAACATTTATAAAATATTTATGATAAATATTCATAAAATATTAAAATAATTATTATAAATATTCTACAAATATTTTATAAATATTCTGTGCTGTCTGGGTCATCAGCATTCGCCATCGACAAGCAAAGCAAGGACCAAGACGAGTCGTTTTTTCTCAATTAAACATTTTCGAATAGGCAAAACGTTTCTTTCAATCTCACTTTTCGAAGTCAATTTTTGCAGTAAGGGGTCACTCGTTTCTGCAACAATATTTGCGCTTTCTTATTTATATATTCTTCAGGATTTTAAATATTAAACCGACGATGAAAAATATTTTATATACTGCTTCAGAGCTCCGTCTAATTGAATTATTGGATTTTAGATATGGTTGCTTTTTCGAGCTCGCATACTGATTCAATGTTGATGATGAACGGCATAGAAATAACAGTGCCGAACAATAACAGCAACATTAGCAGTAATGGCAATCTAACCGACGACGCCAGGAGAGTCAAGGATCAGGCCTTCACTTTATCACGTGTTACAATGCCGGGCGGTAAGGATAACTACGCATTGAACTTTGACAATATGGACAAAATCGACGACAGGAAGCTAAACACGGACAATAACATCAATGCGGAACCCGTTGTTATGAAAAAAATTGCCGGTAAGAAATATATGTGAAATTTACAAAGCTATAATAATTCCACGTACTAAGCACAAAAGTAAATATTTGCAGAAATTAAATTACTGATTAAATAAAAATCCCGCGTATCACACAGTTGACAAATAATTTCATGTACTTAATATAAAATGACTCATTATAATTAACTTATCAATTTACGCAATTTTCTTTTCATTGTTGCTCCAATATTGTTATATATGTTTTTTACCCTGATGCATCTTCTCTCACCTTTTTTAAAATATCGTAATAATTAAACGCAAACGTAAAAATTACATTAACAATAATACCTAAATTAATTAATAGTAAAATAATAGTTTATATTAATATTATTAGTATTATTAATAATAATATTATAATATTTTAATTTAAATATTATAATATTATTATTATATAATAATAATAATAATAATAATAATAATAATATAGATATAGATAGTAATAGTAATTTCATAATAATACATACAGTACAAAAAATAATAACAAAATAGAGTACGAATTTATTTGACATATTATGACTTTCCGAATTTTGTACAATTAACAAATGTCACCACCGCAAATTTACTTTCGAAGGCACGAAAATCTGCACTTGTAGGAAGTGCGAATAAACTAATTATCGTCGCGACATGACAAATTGTTCACGGATATGGTGGGGGAAAAGATCGCTCGGTGTACACACACAATGACGATTATAATAACGACACGCAAAGTATGTGTGACTGTTCGACTCTTATTTAATTCGCCGATCCTTCTCATGACAATCAGAGTTCAGAATACCATGAATTCGCGACGGTTTATAATCTCGACGCGAGGAAAGAGCGCGTTCAGTGATAGTGTTTTGTTTTGTTCGCACCACCTCCGCGAAATACAAGTGTGTGTTTAGACGAGAACGACGACGATGACGATGCGAAAATGTTGATAGCCTAAAGACCTAAATCTATTTGTGTGACAGTGAGCTTTTCCTTCTTCCATATCTCTTGTCAATCGATCGCAAAGGTGAAAGAAATTTTAACGAAGAGTTTACGAAGTTTGTAAAGATGGATAATTATGATCGGGATTAAAAAAATTGATTTCTGTATTTTTTTTTCAAATAAAATTACACGATTTATCCGTAAATCTCGAAATGGTACTTTTACTCAAGTTTATATTCGATAAATTATTGAATTATTCCATTTATATTTTCAATTACGGTCTCCGAATAGAGAATTAAAAGAAAATACAATAATAGTGAATTAATATATAGTAAAAGATTAATATATAGTGAATAGTGAAAAATAGTAAAATAATTTTTTACATGCTTTACAATTGAAAATGAATACAATTTTTTATTTAAAAATTGCCTTATTACGTCACAATATTGAGAAATTTACAATTAAAATTGTAAAATCATTTTAATGTATTTGTCATGTTATAACATGTGACGTATTGTTGAAGTTTTATTGTAATCAAAATTAAGAATAATGTTAGCATTTTCAATCTTTGAAGAAAATTTATATCGATTATGTTTACTAATTAAATATTTATGTTTAAATATGTGGATTCTATTTCACGAAAAAATGGCGAATTAAATCATTGAAAATCTACCAATAATTTTAATTATGTTTCTTAAAACTTAATTAAGAATTTCAAGTGAGTCCCTAAATGCTGATTCGATATCAAACTTGATAAATTTAAAATAACGAAATTAATATAAATGCTAAATTTGAAAAATGTTATCTTTTTGTAAAATATTATATATATGTATATTAATATATGTATATATATGTACATTAATATATGTATATTAATATGTATGTTAATTAAAATGTATATATTTATATATATGTATATTAATTAAAATAGAGTCGAATATTACTATAATCGTAACAAGAAAATATTTTATATAAAAGTTAAAAGGTTTCAAGAAGAAAAAAAATTGATTATCTCAAATTTTAACTAAAATCATTTTTCAAAGTCATTTGAAAGTCAATCTAATTTTTTTAATAGAAAACCATCCTATTTTTTTATATAAATCCTTACAATATTCGATATAAAAAGTTATAAGAGTAGGATGACCAGAACGTTAATATAGTTGCGAAATTATTTCTCAATAATTTAATGTGAAATACTTTTACATAACATACTTTGAGAATTGTGAAAAAGCTATTCTTTGTTGAACGCTGTGTTATTTAAAGAATACAGATAACGTGGTCTATTTAAATATTCCTGATTGGATAGAAAACTGTGTAACATGTAACGCTTTTGTGCTCGACAGCGGGTTTAAAGATAACCAACGTGCAAAAGGACAAAAAGGACATGTCCGGCGTAGGTGGCGGAAATGGATCTCTCTCCAGCGGTAGTTCAATAGTGACAATCTCATCAGTTGCCATTTCGGATCCCGATCCGGACTTTCGTAAAGTCCCGAACGGACACGGGGACAATAGGGACGTCAGAAATGAAAAATGGTATCACACGATTCTTCAGGTCTCGGTGCCCTTTTTTATTGCCGGTTTGGGCACTATCGGTGCAGGTCGTGTTCTCACTGGAGCAAAGGTAAGGACTCTCTTTAATAAAGGAAAGACTCGAATCGGTTTATCTTTTGTCTCTGAAACTGCTGTCTTCTTATCGAAGAGGTATTTGTCATTGTCTAAAGATAAAGAAATAGCTATTATCGAGGAAAAAATATCGGAGTCAGTTTCTACCTGAATGATGTTTATCGAGCCCGTGTGCATTTATCGATCGTGCAAATAGGATATCTTGTATCACTCTTAACGACGCGATTGTATAAGCGTCTCGAATATATCATTCACATTTTTAAGTAGATTTCAACATGGATCAAAGATCGTTAAAAAGAATTAAGAAATCGAACGAATTAACTGAGAATGAAATGATATCGCAAGAATTTTTTTTTTTAACAATAAATAACTTTAAATATGAGAAATAATTTTTCTCAAATGTTTTTTCAAAGATTAAAGTTAAAAAATAATATCACTTTCGTTGCTTTTATATATAGCCACAACAAATATAACAATATTTTCATAATAATTATAAACAATTATCATTTATTTATAAGAATTTTTACACGTACAATTTTATCATAATATATGTATACTATATATATATACATAATTGTTGTATATATTTTATATAAATATATTTTATATTTCCATATGTATAATAGTTATATATTTTATTTTAAAAATATAAATAAATAAAGGGCCAACACTCTGACTAGTTGTGCAAATAATATAAATTTATAAGAAAATTAAATTGTTTTGGCCTACATTAGATCATCTTCAGTAATCAATTTTCAGTCAAAAGTGATATAACTGGAAGAAGTTATTATTAACGTTGAAGAATATATTTAACAATTTCTCCCACCTTGAGTGAATTCACCTTTTACTAAAAATTCTTGTACTGTATTATTAAAGATAGCCAAATATAGGCCGAAATATTCAATTTGCTGCAATAAATTTATTTGCACTGCTATCTAGTGTTGGTTCTTTCCCTTAATTTATTTGTTATATTTTTAATTTTAAATTTATATAAGCTTTTTAAATTCACGTCATTTTGTTAATTTTTTTATATATTTTTATATATAATTTTTTTAATATATTTATATTTTTTCGTTATTTTGTTAATTTTTTATAAATTTTTTTATATATAATTTTGTTTTAATATTTATATTTTTTGTCATTTTGTTAATTTTTTTATATATATTTTATTCCGATTTTTGTGTATTTCCAGAACGTGGCGGCTTTCGTAGAAGTTCCCCAGTTGTTGATTCTGACTACGGCGTTGCAAGGTCTGAAGGGTAATCTCGATATGTGTTTGGCGTCGCGTTTATGCACCCAAGCAAATTTAGGCAACATGAAGTGCCGACGGGAGATCGTGAAGATGATCATCGGTAACGTCGCCTTGGTCCAGGTCCAGGCGATAGTCGCGGCCCTCTGTCTGTCCCTATTCGGAATGGGAGTGGGCGCCCTGAACGGGAACGGCTTCGTCTGGAACCACGCGTTACTCTTGGCGGTCTCGTGCATGTGCACGGCAACCAGTTCCTGCTTTATCTTAGGTAAACTCATCCTCTCGCCGCGGTGTGCTTATTAAACATTGATTAATGAACGCCACTTACACGCTTGCTCCTCGGTGAATCGACACTTGTGTAAGGTAATCTATTCGCCATTTATCAGCAATTAGCATTAATAATGATCGCTATCAGCTCGGTCACGCATTTTACTAACAGATGTTATTCTTTTTTTATGCATAGATGATGCTCCTCTTTTGTGCATCATAAAGATTTGTTTTTTTTGTACATATTCTTTTGTAAGTGCGTAATTTAATTAATAAAAATTTTTCCGCTTCGCAAACCTTGTTGATCTAGCAAATTATTATGCAAATTATAATTTATGTATACTTTATTATTGACATTTCACATTTTTCACTTTTTTGCTTACGATATCCTGACGATTCTTCAAATATAATTAATCCTTTATTAAATTTATTTTTAATGATTTGCAACATGGATCTTGAAATGGATCTCATTAAAACACAATGTCAGAATTTTGTGATCATTAAATGTATTATTATTAAAACAGATAATTTGATTAAGCAATTTATTATATATATTTATGTCTTTACATATTTATAATTAATTATAGTATAAAATTTAAATATAATATCAAATAAAATAATAATTAAAATAATTTGTTATATAATTAATATTATAATATTAAATGTTATAATATGTATAATTGTAATATTTGTTTTACAATTGTATAAGTTTTAAATTATTTCTCTTCATTTTTACAATTTCTTCTATTATTTTTTAATTATAACATTTGACACTTATTATATAATATATATGTAAATCCGTATTAAATCTAAATTACTGACAAATAATTTTTTCTTCACAGATTTTGTCATGATTGTTGTAATCATGATATCCTATCGATTCAAAATGAATCCGGACAATTTAGCAACTCCTTTGGCTGCATCTATCGGTGACGTCGTATCCATTAGCATTCTCACACAGATTGCTTCAGAATTCTATTTCAGGCTGGACACTGAAATATGGATACTATACGTCGCTTTCGGGGTTTTTTGGTGCTCTTGCCATTTTGGACCTTGATCGTATTAAAGAATAAATATACGAAGAGTGTGTTAAAGTCCGGCTGGATTCCTATTCTATCAGCTCTTCTGATTAGTGGGTTAGTCTGAACTAACATGTTATATCACAATTCTATGTTTCAAATTACGTAAATATGTTAATAATCACTGGCGGATTCTGAAGGACGATTTTTTGGGGTTCAAACTTTTCCTTTTCAAATTAAAAGAAATAATTGTAATCCAATTTGCAAAAATATTTTCACTACTAACCAAATAATTTTACACAAACCCTTCTCCCCCCTCCCTCATTATCTTCAGGATATGTTAATGTTAATACTTAATATATAATTGATTTGATTATTAATTTGATTGTATTATATAATTTAATTATTACATATCGCTTAATTGTTTTATTTTATGTAATTATGTTATTATATCTCATCTTTAGCGGAGGTGGATTAGTTCTTGAGAGAATGGTTGCTTCTTATCAAGGATCTGAAGTTTTTCAACCAGTTATTAACGGAATTGGCGGCAATTTAGTGTCGGTGCAAGCGTCTCGAATGTCAACTATGTTACATCAGTCCTCCATCATGGGAATTTTACCGCCACACGGGAAAATTTGGATATTTCCATGGGCAGCTCTCTTCGTAGGATGTATGTATAATTATATATATATATATATATATATATATATATATACACAGAAATAGTATATTGTGTATCAAGTGCGGAAAGTTGACAATTGGTCACGAGTGCGGGGGATGGACGCACGAGCCGAAGGCGAGTGCGACCACCCCACACGAGTGAACAATTGTCAATCCGCACGTGATACACATACTATTTTGTATTACAAGTGCAGGCAAAGTGGCTGTTTCTGCGCGTTTTCTGTGCGCGAGGCGGCCGATCGCACGCCGCGACACGGTGGGGGAATAGCCATGTTCAATACATTTCCTACGGCTTCAGCCGTATACAATGACTTTTAACGCGGCTGAGCCGTAGATAATGGCTTTGAACGCGGCTTATTTACTCACCGCGTCGCCGCTAGATGGTGGCGGGGGAAATCGGCCGCTTTCCGCACAGAAAACATGCACCGAAAGTGCCACTTTGCCTGCACGTGTAATACAAAATATATTTTTCTCTTATTTTTTACGCGATTTATTTAAAATCTCTTTCTTTTCTTCACAATACCATAAAATTTTTATTCCAAAATTTTGTTTTACTTGAAACTGTTAAACTTAACATAACAGACATATTTTTTAATGACTTAATTTTTTCTAACCTTATTTATCTCGTTTTTTATTTATCTTTCTTTCTTATTCAGAGCAAAAAAATACTCTTTCTGAATCAAACTTTTTTAACATAGGAATTTCTCCCCGTGCAATATCTGACAGTTTTTCTTCCTTATAAACAGCGCCATATGCAAAAGTCGCTAGATTACTCATTGCTATGGCAATTCCTGGACAATTGATTTTCGTCTTCATCGCCAATGCATTAAATCCGGCCAATTGTGAGTTACATCCGTATTTCGTAATCTCCTACATACTCGTTTCCGTGTTACAGGTAAGTTAGGCAATGCTTGTTTCAATTGGGATGCTCTCCAGCAACGAAACACAGTCATATGCTGTATAACACAGTGTTGCACAATGTTTGTTATTTCACCATCAAAATATAGATCAGTCACAATGGACAGTTTTTTCAAAGTTTCAAATTTTTTAAAGTTTTTTTGATTTCCAGTAACAAAACAGTCATACTTTGATATAGTGTTGACTTGAACTACTTAACTTTTTTGCTTCACCGCCAGAATATAAAGTATATAGTCACGTATAAAGTATATAGTATTATCTTCTTCAAAGTTTTAGGTTTTTTTAAACTTACCTCTGTTTACTTACTTTCAGAATATCGTTCCGTAGAAAAAAATAGTATCAAATATCCACTTGTATCGTAGTTGGAAAGCATTGTATTACAGTGACGCCTTGCGTTGCTGAAAAGCACCCTTCTTCTATTTTGCATGAGAAATAAAATCACAAGATAAAATTTTCTTGTTCTTTCAGGTAATGCTTTTGTTGTATGTTGCACACATAATTATTCACGCAATGTGGAGGTACAAAATCGATCCTGATAATTCAGCGATTCCCTATTTGACGGCATTAGGTGATCTCAGTGGATCTCTGCTCTTGGCGTTGGCCTTTTTCTTCATATACTCGATTAATCGACCATATTGTGCCGGGGAATGATAAAATGTAAATGCAAATCGATTTAGAATCAAAGCAGATACAAATACAATGCAAAAAATTTTTAACAATGGCTAAGTTTGTCATTGTTAAAATCGTTGATTGAATGCTTGAGCTATCAACACAATTGGAATGGTTCATGTAGCGTTTTTTTAATGCATTTTTTTAATGCATAAAATCGAGCGAGAAATGATGACCAAATAATACTGAGAAATAGGACAAAATACTCATTGTTAAATTACAGAATATATATATATATATATATATATATATATATATATATACTATATATATACATATATGTACATCTATATGTATTTCTATATACTATATATATATATATATATATATATATATTATATATATTTGCTATTAATTCTAAAACAGAAACAAAAATAGAATTGTTGGTTTTTTAGGTATTGTTAAAAGTACGATATTTTATACATCACGCATTTTTTCGCATAGGACAGAGAACTTTTTGTAAATCGACAGAAACCTAATCAAATTAGAAACAAACAGAAATTTTTAAAAAATCTAAAATATTTAAAATTTCTGAAAAATATACTAAACATGTGAAAAATAAAAAAAGATACATAAATTTTTAAGATATCGTTAAAGCATCTTTTCGCGTTTTAGATATTTAAATACTTTTATTGTTTGACGAAAAATAAACGTATTTAAAGAAAGCGTATATAGTGATGTATTTTAACTTTAAGCGATAATAATTGTAATTTATAAAATGATGGCCGTGAAGAATCATGAATAAGCAAATATTATTGTCAAGGATTCCGTATTGTCTATCTTAAAAGATGTATTGCAAGATATTTTAAATGTTTGTTCTGTTGCGACGAATGAGACATTATTTAATTGTGCAATCATATAACTACACAACGCAATTATAGTTCAATTAAAGCAGCGACTCGTTTTAACTGCCTAGTATTAAACGAATGTTGATTGTCATTCCTCGCCACTGTCTGCATACATATATTTCTTATTTAATTACGCAATACGATCTTTGGGACACGCCTTACGTAATGTTCGGACAATGCCGAGTAATTAGACTGCGTCAATTATTTGTTTTTAAATACACGCAAGAAATCCACATTAAGAATATTTATTCTTAACCAATTAATAAGCGTCAACAGCAAAATAATTTACAGCATTTGGGGAGATCTTTTATCAGAATTTATTTTAATACTTTTAAATTATTATAATAAATTTAAATTTAATTAGAATATAAATTATAACAAGATTATTGCGATTAATATTTAAAATGTTTAAAATGCGAAATTTGAAACTTACGTGAATTATTTATGAAGATATTTTTAAAAACGAAATATTCTTAAATGTTTATAAAAATACATGCATATTTCTATTTAAAGTAGTTAAACATATTTTCCTATATATTTTTTAGTTATATACATATATTTTTTTTCAAATAATTTCAATGCTTGAAATTACTTGAGAAAAATTAAGAATCATGAATTTAATCTTACATTGATCTGATAGAAATTATATTCATCATTTATTTTAATAAAATCTGACAAGTCCAAGCACAATTTAAGCCAAAAAAATAAAATAGATGCTATAAATAATAACTTTATAAATTTATATTTTTCTACGATATGCTAAATTAAAATACAAAAAAATAATTTAAGCAAATAATATCTTATTCAGTACACAATAATTGTATATGAAATTTTCAAGCAAGTTTTTTAGCATACGATTATTGCTTGATCATTTGTTTATTATTTTATTTATCCTTTCAGTATTTTTATCAAAAATATATTTTATTCTTCCCAATAAAAAATATTTTTTACTTAAAATATGTTTACTTTATGATTAGCTAGTTTTTAAATAATATATATTATTTTCATGCATCTAGTAGTCTAAATGAATTAAATTTAAATAATATTATAGTTGTGTGTATGTGGCGTGTGTGACATAAACGATACATTGTTTTCAAAATCTATTTAGAAAGATTGTAACCGAAGAATGTATTTTATGTATTTTGTGTATCTTATACATATATATACTAAAAACTATAGCAATCTCATTACTAATACAAAATATTGTACATGAAGTTTTTAACCAACTGTGCAGATAGTGAAATTTTAAATAACAAAAAGCGCGAAATATATCTTTAGATTTTTTAAATATTTTTACAAAAAATGTAATATAAAGATTTTATTTTATTTTTTTTACCTGCATCGTTTATTATTTTTACATCAATGTTTGCTAAATTTTTTGTACAATAGATCGCTAATCTCGTTATTAATTACAGATAAGATTCTTCAAAAAATCCACAAGTGGAATTAAATTTTTACGTTGACTGCAGGGAAAATTTGGAGAATATCCTTCAAATAGCATCAATGTTCTATGATATTCACTGTGAAAAATATTCAGAGAGAATATCCTGTTGAATTTTTCATATTCTTTCAAGATTTGTAAGGAATAGCAAATGAGCGCCTTAGGCTATGTTTAGAAAATCATCGATATATTTTGTAAAATCATACATATATACGGATATCTATAATACGTCATTCTCAAATGCTCATAATTACTGCATCTATAACTAAATCTGAATATAATTTTAAAATATTTTAAATGCTATTTCAAGGATAAATTTAAATCATGTAATATTTAACATTTTTTTATTATATATGAATAATATAATGTATAACAATCAAATGTACATATTTAGTGATTATCTAGTACAGAACCTAGATCGATGGATATTTTTATAGGACATTTATAAATAAAATATATGCATATATTAATATATATTTCTAAATTAAATTAAATATCTTTATATAACCAACAATAAGTAAAGTATAGTCATTACAATGTTCATCAACTTATATAAATAATTGCAAAAAAAGTTCAAAACATTTTACAAATGGACTAAAGATACCCTGAATATAATATTCAGGATGATCCTAAAAATATTTTTTGCTGCCATTATAATCGATTGTCGGTATTATCGCATCTCTCTTGAACTCTCTAAACTGATGGTACTTGCTTTTCATTCACATGTATGCACTTGTGTCGACTTTTGTTAACTTGCGTGAAATCAAGTTAATAACCTTGATACGATGAATGAAAATCTACGCTTGATCATATTGAACTCACCATCTAAGCAGATGAGTTACTCGAAGTTGACTTGTGTCATCGACAAAAAACCATATAAATGTAATGGAAAGCAGCAAGGATACTAAGAGTGAGGCTGTGTCAACTTGTGAACCACGTGTTTCCATTAAATGGAAAGCATCCTGTATCAACTTACATCGTACCAACTTCTTATAGAATGTAGAACAAATGTTGCTTCCCATTTACATCAAAACTCAGATAAATCTCACTTTTGTTTCTTTTTAACATGGATGTTAAAAAAAGACAGAAGTGAGATTTATCTGAATTTGTATGTAAATAGAAAGCAACTAAAGATATAAAACAATGCTTGTGCCAACTTGTGTTGCTAAATAGAAGGCACCCCATATTACCATTGGAAGAGTCGAAAGAAGCTCTTCCCTTCCCGACATAACCTAATCAAACTGCGAAGAAGTCTTCCAGCTGCATGTCGCGCGTCGTTAGCGTCGCAACAGAAGGCCTAATATCGACGCGTATCTCATAGCCCAACAGACGAATCTGCGCAAATTGTAGTATCTGATCATTAGTATAGCAATATAGTGTATATCGTCTTGCCACAAGTGTGTTGAATGATATAACCCGACATTCGTTTGTTCCGCTGTTCTTCTCTTTCTAACTCGACTCACTCGAACGTATTACTATTGGGGGTTCACTGTTAGACTTTACGTCGCTGACCTCATATATATATATATATATATATATATATATATATATATACATATATGTATACAGTGTCATGATGCAGTGCGCGGCAATCAACCGTTTATTTCGCAGTGCGGCCATGAATGCCGATGATTATATCGAGCTCTGAGTTTGGGAAAGATCGTCCTCACTTAGTCTCGCCTTCTCGCTCTAGCTGATCATTATGATCGCGCTGATCCGCGTGCGCCTGTTGCTGTTCTGCTACACTATAAGTGATCCCGAGACAAGAGGTAACGACCAGTGTTCGAGTGAATTTTTCCTGTCTCTTCTCGTTCCTGATCTAATTTCCTGGTTTCCGCTTTTTCTCCTGCGAAATATTAATGACGCAGATTCTGCGTTTTGCTTCCGAGTACAGAAAAGTGCAGAAAAGTGCAATCGCGTATCTGCATCGCGCGCTTGTCGACAAAACGAAGGGCGTAGTACCCTACCTGACGAAGTATGTATATGCTCCTGTCGATGTTTGTTCTTTGATTAAGAGCAGGCAATACTTTCTGAGATATTCTATATGTCGCCGAAGTTGATAGAAGAGCAATTGACAAGATAACCAATTGTCCGAGATAACCTTTTTAACTCTTTGTGATTATTACAGGTAAATGAGTAATACACACAGGGTGTTTTGCCAAAAGTGACCAGTGGTAGACGTCACCCGCGATATTTAAAGTCAATAAAATTCTTATAGTATGTAAAATATTTATATTAAATCATACATTGTTGTATTCATTTCAAAATAGTGCTACAGCAATTATATCAAA